TAGCTACTTCTGTTAGGCACACTGAAGATCATACATACGTTAAAGCAAGAGGAAAGCAGATATACTACGTGATCTGCACTTCAATGTGCAAGCCACTTCATTTTCTTTGGGAATTTCACCCACTAAAATGATTCCAGCAGTATCTGTCCCAACCCATAGCCCTTTGATTCTTTTATTACAGAAGTAACTCTTGACTACTGGCTCCCTACAAATCCCAGTGGCAATAATGCATTTTAACTGACAAGGAGCAAGTGGCAGAAGTTAAATAATGCAAGTCACAGAGCAGGCAACAAACCTCAAGACTATTGACAACATCTCTCTCCTCTCCAGCACAGATTCCATCCACTGGCCAGAGCTCTTGCTATTCTGCTGTCTTACAGAGCACACCCTCTGTTTTCCTTTACCACATTCTCAGACAAGGCTATGCTGTATTCTCCCTCTTTAGTATCAAATTTTTTATTTTTTTTTTTTAAACTAGCAAGTGGTAGAACAACAGCTTCCCATGACCTCAGGTGGAAAAGAAGCCAAACTTCCTGTACAGTAACAGAGCATGAAAGCATTGCTATTTATTTACTGCCTCAGTTTCAAAAGTTACATTGCCAGCAGTGAAGACACAGTAACAGCATGACCGGGGAAAAGCAGTGTCTCAGTGTGCCACCCAAAGTATGTGACTATCAAGCTACCCCATGGTTAGGAATTTAGGTCTCTTACCATTTCCATTATGAGGTGTCCACAAACAAAGCACTTGTCCGCTGTTTGCTGAAAACCTGAATACTGTTCAAATGACAGAAAACAAAGGATTATTAGTAGCTACTCCTCTAGCTGCAGAAATATCTTTTAAGTGAATGCTGTTTTATTTTCCAGCCTGTGCTGTATATGATAGAAAATGATCAAATAGGTTTGGGAGGCAGTGCCTCAGAAGCCTTCGCTCTGCCTTTGCAGCATGCTTGGATACCACAGCTTGGCCTTCTGATTCACTGCAAGATTTCTACTGAGATTTTCCATATAACAGTATTATTTTAAGTTTGATTTTTATTTTTGAAGCGTATTTGTCAAGTTCACATTTGGTGTGCTGGAATTAGCTGCTTGAATTAACCCTTTTGGTTGTTGTTGTTCAGAAGTAAATAACATAGGACTTACCTCCTGACTCCTGCTCAGATTAGTTACCAAATGCTTACTTGACCTCAGATTTTGGACCTACATTTCACTCAGTGCTATATGCAGGCTATAAAAATGAAGACAGGCCCAAGGGAGATTTAGGTGCCTTGTGGATCCAAGCTTTTTATCCAGGGAAGAATCTATTAGTCCAGTCATAGGCTCTTGGGCTCCCTGCACCATGTGGGCAACAGTAAGGTACCTCAGAAAGATGATACAAACCCCAACCACCAGCCCATGTTCCAGCCTGCAGCAGGCACCAGGAAGGGTGGGCATGCCTGGTGGCAGAGCCCTCCTGGGTTCAGTGCAGCGAGGAGGCACTTTGCCCCCTTGGGACCAAAGCTCTTTGTTCCCTGCCTGAGTGGTTTTGACCTTTACTCTGTGCTTGCACCCCCAAATCAGATCCTGTTTCAGATGCCAAAGTCCATCTTTAGCCCTGTGTTTAAAGGTATACAAAAAATATCAAGGTTATCTGGCCAGACGACTGACCTACCAAAGACCTGCCCCAGGGCCAAGGGGCATTTGCCTGCAGAACTGCAGCCGTGCCAGGGGGAGCTGGTACTGGCAGGGGCTGAGCTCTGCTCGCCCTGCAGCCCCACCCACGTGCAGCGCAGGGCGCAGACCCTGCCGGAGGGAGGGGTGCCAGGTGTCTGTGGGGTGTCCCACAGCAAAGCTACTTCAGCAACTCAGCCTGTAGCAAAGCTCACCTGCAATGTACTTTATTTGCACAAGACAAAAGACAGGGAATAGGGAAGATGAGTGTGCACTGGACTCTCCTCCCAGAGCACAGCTTAATTGGCTCAGGCATCTAACACATCCTCAGCACCTCAACCCAACAGAGCTTATGGGTTGCTCCATTCCCCGCTTGATTTGGTGGGGATTAACTGTCCCCTTGCTTCAAAAGCCAGTGGTTTCCAGCCTAGAGCTGCCATATGTTTTCCTTTTTATTGGTGTGAGGGGATTACACGTTATTTCAGATCAATAGGTTGGAGACAAAATTACTGTTGCTATGCAACAAAGTGATTATGAAGGAAGAGCTCTCGCAGACACTTTGATGGGCCCAGTAAGTCAGTGAATGATGGTACGGCAGCTGTCCCAGCTCCAAATTTACTATACACTAAGGAACACAGCTCATGCAATCTTAAGAAACTTTGAAACTTCATCAAAAGAGACTGGGGTGTTGAGGAACACATACAGAGGTGGGCAGTCCTAGCTGGCTGTTTCTGCAATATACTGATTCTTTTGCTTTTTATTTCTTCTTACTGATGCAGAAAAAAGGCCTCACTGCTTGGGATGCTTCTTGGCTGCAGTGTATCTGAGTAACCATCTGGCTAGACTGTTTCCTAAGGTTGCGAACTCCAGAGTTACTGGAAACAGGTGGGTAGGTCCTAGTGGTGCAGACAGCAGAGGATTAACAATAGTATAAACCCAGCTAATTCTAAAATCCTGCTGGAATGAATTTACTAGTACCATCTGGCTGTCATTTGATAAGGAATGCAAAGGAGCATTTACCCAGCTATTGATTAAGAGGCAACGTTACTCTCCAGGAACAGAATTGCATAGTGGTCAGATTAATGTCATTTACTGCTAACTAGATTGCCATAAATTACACTTTGTCAGAAAGAAAGGTTTTGCTGACACAAAACCACTCTTTATATGACTAACCCTATTAAATTAAAACCATGATTTGTTTTTTAACAAGAAAATTGTTATTTGCCAAACACATCCAGAACTGGATTACCCAATGAAGACTTCACAAAATGGCAGTAAGTCTAACAGCACTGATAAAATATTTCATGGGCTTGGGGAGCTGTCCTTTATCACCACACTCTTCTCTTTTCTGATCACAGTATCGATCCCAGGCAAACTGGAGACCTGATTCAGGGGGATCAGTGTTTTGGGTTCAGCTCTGCTTGTGCTCTTGGGCTGGAAGAGAGTAATAGCCTTGGATCTCAGCAGCACCATTTTCTGTGTGATGGAAGCACTGTGGACACTGCTGTTTAAAGGTAAATAATAAATTATTTTCTCTACATTATTGTAGCTGACCTGTCAACTTCTGCTTTGCAGTATTTGTTCTGACTTGGAGAGTTCAAATAGGGCTGTTGTACTAAGTTTTCAGTTTTAGAAGCAGAGCTTAAAACAGTCTTAAAATACTAATTAAAATTGGCAACGTTTGTCTTTGAAGCACTTGATCGTTATTAACCTTCACAAATCTTGTGTGTGCAATGAGAGAGAAGTTGTGACTTGCTCCAGAATCTATACAAGGCAGAATGGCCTCTATTATCTCTCAGCACACCCAAGAGCCTCCTCAACGGTAGGTTCCCAGCATGCTGGGTGGAAGAAGCACTGGTCCCCCAGAGCTTGTGACCCAGGTAACTGCAAGAGAGAGCAGGTCATGCTCTACAGATTTGTAGCCTCTTCTACTACTGACATGGAGGGTGAAAGTTTTTGCACACACCAGCCCTCCCTCACAATGTGGAGGCCTGAAAGCCAGACTGAGGTGAAACAGTGAGGTCATACAGGCTGACAGGCAAGACCTGAGTGGAGAGGCCAAGTCACAGCTATGCTTCCTGTACACATGGTGGTTTATACATACAATTTCATTTGGAATAGAAGCAGTACTGGGCTCAGTTCTACCCTTCTCTAGAAGGGTTTCGTATGTGCCAGTTGGTTTGGTTGTTTTGTTTTGTTTTTTTTTAAAATAAATTTGTTGGCAGGCTATTAAGATGATGTAAATACAGACCAATCTCAAACCAGACAGAAAAGTTCAGAAGTCTACAGACAGTCTTTACCCAGGACAAATAAGAAGCATAATTTGAACTTTCCCAAATATTCATTATAGATGCTCATTAAGCATATATAAAAACATTGAAAGTTGTTATGAAAAGAACAGCACTGAAATTCAAAGCTGAAAATGAAGTGTCACCCTCTACTCTCTCTTCTATGACTTAAGAATAAGATGCTAAGTACCAGGATGCAAAGAAAACAAGTGCATGCTGAAAAGCTGGCATGGTATTTTTCCTGATTTCATAGTTTGGCCTCAACTGTTTTCTCTCATATTTACTTTGTTCTTGACTTCCCTCACAGGTTAATAAAATCTCACCTTATGTGCACGAATCAAGACTTTGTAATCAAGCTCCTCAGTGATACTTATATAAATAAGACTCTGGGAAACTAAATAAACCTTGAGAAATATGTTAATTATGTTAGAATAGAAGAGTGAAAATAAAGTAGACGACTTGGCTGGCTGAACTTTTCTTTTGTTTCTGTCCAATATACTTTTGATTATCAAACAGGAAAAAAAAAAAACCTCTAATGATTTTGTCCAAGAGTCTTTGTTTCAATGTAAGAGGAAAACAAGTCCCCTTCTGTCCTGAATATTTAGGCCTGTTAGTGTCCTCCTGTGATAATCTTGGGGTTTATAACTCTGCTGTCTAATGTGCAATATATCCAAAAGAAATTAACAATGAATTTTGAGCATATAATGAACAATTATGCACGGAGGATAATCCCACTGAGTATTATGAGAAACAATTTCTCCTGTCTGCCCTCAGTCCTGTAACCAATCTTGGTTGTCTACCCAGGGTCTTTCAAAGTTTGATGTTCTCATCATGATTTTCAAAAGCAAAAACATTCAGAGAATGGCATGCCTGAAAAAGGCTTCATGACCCAAAGTTTTTACCTTAGACTATGTCAGGTCTTTGAAAAGACAGTCTCTTCTCCCTCGCCTGCCTAACCGTGCCTGGAGAGGCCGATGCGCTTCCCTGCTGTTAGGCGCTCCAGAGGACAAAGCCTTCCTCCTGGAAACGCACCCTGGAATCTCATTCAGGCCCACGTTCTTCTTTGATGAGGACGTTCAAAACCCACTACAGGTTTGTGCAGGCCGATGGGGGGGTTACATTTCAGCAGGTGTGGCATTGCTGCCCTGGCTGTGGTGCCAAGGCAGAACCCCCAGGTCTGTGTTACAGCACTGCACGGCCAAGGAGCACGGCGGCCCGGGCTTGAGATTCCTGCGCCTTTGTGCTTTAAGGGCTCCTGAGAGGGATGAGCAGGAGCTTTTGCCAAAATGCTTCAGGCATTTATTTCTGAAAACTAATTTCTGAATTGGGTGCTATGCTAATAATGTATTCCAACCCCAGGCTGCCTGTAATCCCTCACAGACTCTCTTCTCCTTGGTTTCCCATTAGCAGAGCATCTGTCTTCTCGCTGCTTTATTGTTTGCTCTCTGCATGGGACCCTTAGTACACGGGACACAACAATGCAAGAAATTCATGGGATCACGTTAAGAGAGGGAGAAAATATCAAATTTGGTTCCATGCAGATGGGGTTTTGTTGTTGCCTTTTTCTTTTTCCCCACGCACATATTTAAATGCAATGATTAAATTGAACTGAACAAAATGGGCCCTTCTTAGGCTCAAAGAGATGGAAGTCTCATGGCAAGGGGCAGAGATTAAACTAAAAGCAAATAGTCCAGAACTTCACTCTTCATCTCACTTAAACCTTTTCATAAATCCTGTTGCTTCGCCCTGTCTTGCTGCCAGTGAGGAAACACTACAGCAGCAGCTTGTCCTCTTGCTTCTGTGTTTCCACTCTGTTATGTTTGAAGGACATGGGTAGGG